GACAAAAGGGGTTAACACGTTGGGCTTCAGCTAGCCATAATTCACTCTGGGCTCATAGGAAGTTGGCCCTTTTAACTTGGGTGCAAGCTTCTTCGCCCATCACTATATCATCGGGCTTCGCCTCCGTGTACTTGTCTGATTGTTTATGGTGATTGAAGAGTAGTCATTGAACCCTTTTTGGGGGTAGATTTATAAAATTATTAACTTGAAATTTTATCTAAGTTGAGTTTTAATTTAAACCATAAGAGAAATTGGTCTTAATAAACTCGGTTGATCCGGAAAATTAACTCATGATCTGAATTAAACATGATTGGGTTAACAAAATGAACTCTTTGAAAACAAAACAATGTAATTTTAATTAAAAAAATAGTTAATTATGATTGGCTCAACTATTTAGAAACCTGATTTTCGGCGGGTTAAGTCTTGGATTGAGTCCAACAACTAAGAGAAAAGAGTAATGAAATTATGTTGTTGGTTTTATTGAGAAGAGAATCTCATGGAAGTAGAATTTGTGATTAGGGACGTCATTAAATTATCCAACGATTTCAAAATTTAACCACGTTTGCATTTCAAAACATAGACTCGGGTTGCTTTGACGATACGGGTGAATGGGGCATTTTGCATATACAGAAAGTAGGGGGACTAAAATACATGGATACCTCGGTATTTACCCCAATAATAATGATTTTTCAAAAATTATTAACACTTTCAACATTTTTATTTTAAAAAAAATTATCCCGAGGAGCACTTTTCAAAAATCAATAAGCATCAAATTCATAAAATTCTGCTATCCTGCGCGTGTGTGTGTATGTGTGCGCCGCGTACACTTTTATATTTCATAATAACACATTCAAAACATCAGAAAAAATAATAATTTAATATTATTTAAATAGCAAACATTTTTGAATCATATTAAGAATAAAAAAAAGTAATTTAAAGAATTAAATTTTAAATTTATTTTTAAAAAATTATTAATTCAAGTATTATAAATGATAGAATTACTAAAAATTTATGCAGTTATTAATTTTAAAATTTTAAAAAAATTAATCAAGTGTAAGATTGGTCGTCTCGATGGTTACTTAAAAAAACTAATCAGAAGATACACGCTTTCAAACAGGTACTAGCACAAAATAGAGCAAAGGGTAGGAGAGGGTAAAGTGTTGAACTGTAACCAGCACAAGTCATCAGCACAAGCACATCATTTATCTTCTTTCTCTGTTCACGTGAATGACGGGTACTTTCCTTCACCTTTTGAATTGATTGACAAAAGAGTAACACGCGCTTGTAAAAGGATATCGTCTTTTATAAAAGAGTGTTTGAATTCGCTGTTTACTCCTACTCAATTACCCAATTCACTACACACTACAACGGTAATCTACGGTTTTATTTTTTTTATCACTTTTCTTTTTTTTGCATTTTTTTCTCTTTTTTTTTGTCACTTTTTCGTTTTTGTCGCTTTTTTTTTCTCAAAATTATTTTTTAAAATTTTATTTTTTAATATTAAATTGATAAAAAAAATTATTTTATGTTTTTTTAAATACCGTAAATTACTACTGTATTTTTTCATATAATTTTTATTTTTTATTTTTTATTTTTCAAAGTTATATTTATTTATTTTATATTTAATTTTGTAATTTTTTTCTTTAAAACATTATTAATAGCTACAGTGTTTCTCCACATTATTTTTATGATTTTTTTATGATTTTTTTTAAATTATTTTTTTTAATTTTATTTTTTAATATTGAGGTGTTTAAGAATTATAGTTACAATATGTAAGGGAAACAGTAGCTTTTCTCGTAAATTATTGTGAATTGTTATGATATTTTTTCTTATATATATTTTTTTGTTTTTTAAATATTAAATTGATTAAGAATTATAATTACAAGTAAATACAAATAAGATTAAATCACGTGAAAAAAACACTGTAATTTTTCTCACAAAATATTATAGATTAATACATTTTTTCCAGTTTCATTTATGTTTTTTTTTGTAATATTTTTTTAAAAAATTATCTTTATTGATGTTATTTTTTTAAATATTAAGTTAGTTATAATTTAATTTTGTAATAAAGCTTAATTATACAAGGAAAACACTATAGCTTTTTCACAAAACACTATAGATTGCTTTACTGTCTCTCCACGTAGTTTTTTTTCTTATAATTTTTTTATAATTATCTTTTATAATTTTAATTTTTTAATGTTGAGCTAGTTAAAAATTATAATTATAAGTCATTACAAATAAGACTACATTATGTGTGGGAGGTACTGTAGCTTCATCACAAAACACTATGAATTGTTACAGTGTTTTCAGCATCGTTTTTTTGTCCTTATTTTTTTTTGTTTTTTAATTTTTTTTAATATTGAGTTGATTAAGAATTTAATTTTATAACATTTTTCTTTGAAACATTATGAATTGCAGCAGTGATTTCCACATGATTTTTTATGATTTTTTTAAATTATCTTTGTCAACTTTTTTTAATATTGGATTGGTTAAAAATTATAATTACAATAAAACTAAATTATATGGGGAAAATGTTATTGTTTTCCTCACAAAACTCTATAGATTGTTATAATATTTATTTAAATAATTTTTTATAATTTTTTTAAAATTATATTTGTCGTTTGTATTAGAAAAAATAATATAGTTTTCCTTATAAAACATTGCCGGTAGTTTTCCTTATGGGTTTTTTTTTCATTCTAAAATTATCTTTATCGATTTTTTTAATATTAAGTTAGTAGAGAATTTAAATTTGTAATTTTTTTTATTAATAGAAAAGTTAAATCATATATCAAAAATACCATATTTTTCTTCACAAAACACTACAGATTGCTATAAATTATTTTGTTCAGTTTCTAAGTTTATGATCACCAATATAATTTTTTTTATCATAAAATATTAATTTTATCATGCGTTTAATTTTTATTATTTATCTAATATTTATTTATAATTACATACATAACTATTATATTTTATATATACGTGTGCGCCGGCGTGCAAAGGGAAAGACACATATTTAAAGGTATTTTTATGCATATGTGCATTTGTGATTATATATATGTTTATTTTTAAAACATTTAGGTATTTTCATACCACGTTTTTTCATCAAGCTAGATTAATTTTACCTTTACTTAGAATGTATTTCATAAAACGGTTATGACAGTTTTCTATATGGAATCTAATAAAAAAAACATAATAAAAACACGAATAATATATTTTTATTGTTTATATTTCTGTTTTGTTAAGAATTGTACTCAACAATAAACACAACCGCAACCTCTTCACCTACAGCCTTTAATAGTTTTTTTTTTTTACTATATTAGTCACTCTTAATTATGCTATCTTTTAAGAAAACCAGTGACCCAACTTAAATCCAAATTTTTTATTTTTAATTCGATGATAAGAGTATTTTTTATTAGCTTATCAATTGAGATTAATTTTTTATATATACAATAGTAAAGATACATCTCTCGTGCTAATCTAATACATCTAAGAAAAATTAATAATTTTTTTAATACTAATCTTAATATTTAAACCCAGGAAATTAAGTAAATAAAAAAACCTTCAACAATTAAACGCAACTCCCTTGAATCCGGGATGTGAAATCAAATAAATTTACCTAAACCAATCCCTCGTGACTGCATGTCCCTGTCAGTCTGGGGCCTCCTCTTCCTAATTGTCAAGATAGGGGGGGTCACATTTGCCCCACCCAACAAGGCAACAACGTAATCTTGAAGAACGAAAACCAAGAAGCAGAAGAAACAGAGCAAACTTGGGTGCCTACAGGGAAGATAATGTTGGCATTTTAAGCAGGGTGGGAGACAGGTAAGAGATTGCATGTTTTGCGCAACTTGTACAGTTGTATATTCGTGAACGCACAGGAACTCGAGAAATCGTTTTCCATTATCCACGTTAATGCTTAATTGTAAATAAAATTATCTACTTTTTAATGGAGTGATTGGCCTTTGTTTTAATTTTCATATTTTGAATTTCCTCTGAAGATGAGGAGCCTGGTTTTCTTTCAAAAAGCATCGTTGTGACCGGTGGGTCAAGCAAGCAACAGAAGCTTTTCGTAGTTTTTTGGCTCCATTTATAATGTAATTCTGCCCTCGCCAGCGTAATTATTGGCTGCTACTTCTGGCAGATACCTTCAAATGGACGGTAGTTGGTGTTTTTCATCGTCATGGACACAGCACGTCAGATTTTGTGAAGGGCCTAATGTACTTGCTTATAGAGTTAACTGCCTTGGTTCGTTCCAAATCAATGTCATCCTGGTTTTCGACAACCTAGAATTTACGTGCGCACTAACATGAAGGGCAAGCGATGCCCATGGTGGATTCGCACGGGTTTTCTGCTCTCTTTCGGAGTAGTGGCCTTTCTTCGTAGATGTGGCTGTTCCTTTTCGGCCTAGCCTAGTTCCTTTAATTGGAGGGATTACCTTGCCCCTTATACTGGTTTATCCGTGTGGATTTCTATTAAGAAAACCCATCGAAGAGGTCATGAAGTCATGTTTATTCGTGATGATTAGGCATTGTTCTTAGTGTTGTGTTGGTAGTTGCAGCGGCATGGAATTTGACCACCAAAGCTTACATGCCGACTTCTTTAAATTCAAAGCTCAAACCCCCATGGTAACTGATACTTGCGGAGGAAAAGGCTGCAGATTTTGTAGGGCATATTAATTCACCTATAAGATCAATCAATTATGGAATTGTTAACGTCTAATCCATAGAATCTTAATTTCACAATGTCCAATTTTATTTGAACCGCGCTCGAATGCTTACTTTCCTGACCAATTTTATGTTCATAGCAAGTCGCAAAGATGTCAACCTTTCAAGGACATGCTGCTAGAACTTGGACACCATGGAAGAGGCAAAATCACAAATTAAACCAAACCGCCATCCCCAGTCCTACTTGTTGGACCCAAGCAAAGGTAGAAGACAACAGCAGGCCCCAACCAACAACCATTGTTTTGACAAAGAATACTGTCACACTGCAAAACTATCTAAAGCCCAGAAAGTACCAGCACCAATTTTCTTTTCAAAACCTTGCAACAATACGGAGTAAAATTTACATTCGGAATACGAAGCATAAATCGCTCCATTCTTCTACACCAAACATCCATCTGACAACCTTATGAAATGTAGAAGATAACAATAACATAGTGGGCAAAAGAACGAGGCCAAAACATAACCGTTGGTACCAACTGAGAAGTAAAAATACGAACCCCTTGAAGCTGTGCATCATTCAGAGATAAACACATGCTTTTGTCAAATTGTGGGGCTTGCCCAGTTTTTTACCAGTTAGAGTAACAGTGCATCTAACACGATTATAAAACTTTGACTTCACCAATCTTCCCAGGATGTAGGCCCTAGACCTCAAGGAAAATGTCAGGTTAAGAGGCACTGCAACTTTGTTTACATGCTCTCTAGCATCAGCAATATGGGGCACCCCTCCATAGAGGGGAACTTGGGAACTATGCACCACTGTCACCACTGTCCTCCGGCTCTTCCTCGGCTGAGAGAACTTCTCCATCTATTTTATCGACCCACAAAACCATTTAATTAGACCCAAATAATAAGTTAAACAGATGATCGTAATCCAACAAAATCCACAAATTAAACGAGTAAATATTAACAAAAATTAATAACTTGGATTGCTTATTCTACGAACTTCGCATTCAATGAGGGCTCAAGCGCATTAACATGTAATTGAACCTCGATGATACGGTCCCCTCACATGCAAAGACAACTGGGACACAGACCCTTTGGAGTTTGGAGTCCCATGCAAGTCCAACAACAGTACAGACTTTTTAAGATCAACCATGTTAGAGATTTTTCTTTTACGAGGACCACAGCTCGAGGCAGATAAAATTTGACAAAACAACATCCAAAATTAAAGATTAAAAAAACCAAATGCATCTATCCACTTCAAGCTAGCTAATGGGTTCCACTACACTTCCCAACAAAAGAAACTGGATTAAAATTCGTGGCAGTTTTTGCAGTCTTTCACAGGCACTCCAAATTTGTAACCAATAGCACTCCCTCAACCTTCCATGTCGCATTTCCCAAGGTATCCTCGGGACCCTTCAACCGCTAAAGCCTGACGACCTAACAAAATGTTGACCCCGCCCATCAATGTTATTCACAATGACCATGTTACCCGTATCATAGCCGTTATTACATGTTAAAACCAAGGATTAAGAAGACTTTAGAGACGTATAGGTAGCTTAGACTTTAGAAGAGTTTACCTGCCCAGAGGCAAGTTTGAGCTGGAAATAGTGAATTTCTAGAGGGGTAGAGGTGACATGGACGGCGAAGAAGGTGGCGGGATTTCTGTAATGAATCTTGACCGTGGAATTTAACGACAGCATGTCTGTTGGCACTCCTGTTTGATCATTCCCTGCTTGAACATAAAAATTCTCGAACACCATGCTCTGCTTAAAAAGAACACACAGAAAAGCACCTTTTTTATCACTTTAAATTATTTTATACCTATGCTTTAATTATTTGATTTTTGCTGCTGGTTAACTAAAAATGAAATAAATTAACATGATTAAAGGCTAATCCTAGCCCAAATTTATAGTCCCCTATGCCCTAGGCATCATCACCAACTATTCAATTTCCCATGAGACCTCCAAAACAACGAGCCACTTAACTGACTCGGTTGCCACGCACCGAGCCAACTCGGTAATTTTTTCAACATAAAAAAAAATAAACGTACCTTGACTAAAATTTCTGGCTTGTAAGCCTTGCTAGCACCCCACAAGATCAAACAAAACACGGTAAACAGCAGAACAAAGAACAATAACCCAATGAAATACAACCTCACTTTACGTGCACCATCCCCACCATCTTTTTCATCATCGTCATCACCATCATGATCATCACCATCTCGGTCATCAATCCTTATATGTTTCCAAGCAGATAAACTTCTTGGCATCTTGAGTGGATTAGAAAATCTTGAAGTAGATGACTCACGAGAGTGGTGAATTGGTGAACAATGGTAGTAAAGGTGTGGTGGTGAGACGGTTGGGCTTGACCCATAAGACATTTTCTCCACATCATGGTTTGATGGACTTTGAACGTAGTAGACTGGCCTTCTTGGTGACCTCGGCAGCCATGATGTGTCGAGACTGGTTCCATCTGAGTCAGTCTTGGCGTGCATCTTTTCTTTGTTTCCCCCTTGAAAACTGCTTTGAGAGAGATAAAAAAGAGAAGATAGATGTGTTAATGTTAGTTAGAGATTGGAGTTTTAGTGTTTTTGTTTATGTGGGGTATGGCATTGAAGAGCCAGACGAAGGAAGGTGATTATGATGCCGAGACAAGGTAGGGGCAGACAGTGGCAAGCATAGAAAGCTGACACCGGGAGTAGGATTTATAAAAGGGGTTTGAGACTTTGAATCACGAGACAGGGCAGCTCTGGAGAGTGTAATAAAATCTACTGAAAAAACCTTCCTCGCGGGTCAGCTGTTATGAATATGAGCTCTAGTTGCCTGGTTCTTTTTCTTAAAGCCTGGTGGGTCGGTCTCCGATCCTACCTTTCCAGGCCAGGTTCATCACTGATGAGGACTTCCGCAATGGGTATTAGCCTAGCGTTGATATTTATTTAATTTGAAGGGTATTTATTTCCATCATAATTTTTTTTTTACCGCCGCCGCATGCTGTAAATTTATCTTTTAAAAAAATCTCTGGCTAGGCAGATTGTTTTCTAACAAACTTTAAAGTATCAATCAAAAATTCATATAAATAAAAAATTAAATAAATTAATAATTATTTATATAAATAAAAAAATTGTTAACAATGAAAAAAAATTAAAAAATTAAAAGATAAATATGGATGAAATATTATAGTATATGTTATTTACTCAGTTATGTTTAATAAATTTATTT